ATAGAACAGATGAACTGGAAAAGGCATATACAGTGGAACCTCTACTTACGAGTTTAATTCATTCCATGACCTTGCTCGCATCTGGATTTGCTCATTTGCAGAATCAATTTTCCTCATTTAAATTAAATGAAACTGAATTAATTTGTTCCAGGAGAATTCCAGGCACAAGAAAATACTTCAATAATTTCCCTAATATCAACTCTACGGCCTATTTATCTATCAAAATTCATGTAATATGACATAATAAACAATATTAGTAACATAAAAACATGATAATTATAATGAATAAAACACACTGTACATGTCATTACGTATGTGGCTAGTGTGGTGGTGCCTTTGTTGTTGGGCCACCACTGCGGCCACTCTTGCTCCTGACTATATGCGTAGAGAACCTAGGTAATCCAAAAAAGTCAGACAAGTGACTTGTAAGTGCTACACTCTTAATGCTACACTTTGCCACTGCTGCTTCATGATGTCTGCCACTGCTGCTTCATGTCTGCCACTGCTGCTTCATGTTCTGCCACTGCTGCTTCATGTTGTCTGCCACTACTACCTCACGATGTCTGCCACTGCTACCTCATGATGTCTGCTCCCACTTCTGCTAGTGTGTTGAAGAGCTTTCCAATATGTGAAGGTTGAGGGGCAGCGCCAATCGGACAGGTACTGGACGGTGATGTCATTTGTTTACTCTTGAACATCGCCAAAGAATCGAACATTTCTGCCACTTTGAGCTCAATTTCAAGGTACTTTTCATCATGAAACCAATCAAAATCATATCTATTTCTGTAGTATATCTTCCATTCTATCAAATGAGACCAAAAAATGAGAATACAACCATAAAAACTATACGAAAATATACCGCTAAGGGGAGGCTAATGTATGATGGAAAGATGCTAAGAAGCATCTTTCCATCATACATTACCCAAGTTTCAATAAGATAGTCCAACAAACAACCGAGATCCAATTCCCTAGATCACGAGCAAGAGCCCCTCACCAGCATCAAGGAACCTCCCTTAAGGCCTGCTCGCATCTGGAAGCAAAAAATCGACCAAGCGACTGCTCGTATCTGGAAAAACTCGCACATGGATGCACTCGTATGTAGGGGTTCCACTGTATATGCCTTCAAGGCAGAAGTAGATTGCAACTTTGGGATGTTAACTACTAGTATAACTACAACAATATATAAAAAACTTCAGATGAACTTCACTGATTTGAGACAGAGATTGACACCAGTCAATCCATGTACATGTCTCCCTCCATATTCATGAGGATTAGGGGATCAAGAACCTCGCGAATGTTTGGTGCACAAATATATTGTAGGGAAATATAATAATAGCATTTACTTAGCCTAACCATACTGCTTCCTTAACCTATTGAGCCATGGACAACCATAAAACACATGAACACATCGTAAAATATTGTACTAGTGCCAGCCCTTTGGTAAAGAAGGTGAAAAAGACTATAGAATTCAAGAAAGAACTTGTAGCAGAGTACCAAAGTGGAGGAGGAAGAAAGAGGGGAGAATGTGCCTTCTTCAGTGATTCTACGGTATGTACAATACTCAAGCAGCACGAGTCGATAAAGGCTATAGCGCCAGGCAGCGATGAAGTGTAGCAAGCAAGTTAAGCGATTAATCATAGAAAAAAGACAGCACGAACCTAACTCCTCCAATGTTGTTGGAGTTATATAGGGCAACTGACAACACCGCCATCTCTACTGCCTCTGCTGCCGCCTCCACTATATAAGGCTTATGCTCTCAGTGACCCTTATACACCCAACAACACTTGTGACATACTTAACCCCTTGACTGCCGCAACCCCAAATCCTGAGGTATCTCCTGGTGTCGCAAAATTAAAAAAAAAAAAAAAAAAAAAAAATTCTTATGAGATGATAGAGAATCCTTTCCTGATTGTAATGACACCAAAAGAACGAAATTTGATGGAAAACTGACAGAATTACGCTCTCGCGAAGTTAGAGATCTCGACGATATTTACAAATCGGCGATTTCACCCACTTGGAGCCCTATTTTCGGCTCATTCCATTCTTCCAGTCGACCAAACTCATAGCTATTTCTTTAGAACTCCATTTTTTATATTGATTGAGTAAAGAAACTGCCCATTTACCGATTTCAACTACCCAATAACGTGGTCAGAAATTTGCAATTTGGCCAATTTCACAAAAATTAAAAAATATGACAATTTCAAAATAGGGTCCAGAATGAACAATGCAGACATTCCTGGCTCTAAAATAACATTTTCTTTGTTCATCAGTCACATCTCCAGGCCCCTCTGATATTACTCTTGCTTTCTGTTTTGAATTTTTATTCAAACAAAAAAATAGAAGATTTACTGCTATGCAGACTACTGCAATATTGTAATAATTGTATAAATAATGTGAACCCATTCATGACTGCATATTAGAGTGGCTACTTGGACATTTATTGGAAAATGACATCATCTGTTTACTTTTGAACTTCAGCAAAAATCAAACATTTCCCCTACTTTGACCTCCATTTCAAGGTTCTTTTCATAGTAAAACCAATCAAAATCACCTCTATTTCTATAATATGTTTTCCATTCTATCAAATGAGACCAAGAAAACGAGAATACAATCATAAATACTATACAAAAATAGACCACAAAGTCGGCATTTTAATTAAAAAAACAGTCGGAGTTTCTTTTTCTCATTATGCACTGCATGCTGCGGGATTTTTTTATATGGTGTACACTGACCACACAGAACCATTCTCTCACATGTGGGCCTACCAGCTTTCTCCTGCTCGATTTGAAGCCACTAGAATTTACGAGTATATATACGTCAAAAATGGTGGCTCGTAAGACGTATATATACGACCAAAACAGCCAAAGGGTTAATGACATTTTATTCATTCTAGAGTATATGCCATGTTTCTATGTTATTAACATTGTTTATTTTGTCATATTAGATGAATTGTGATAGATAAATAAGCTGTAGAGTTGATATTAGTGCCATATTGAAGGACTATCTGGTCCTATCTCCAAACAAACTCTTTCACCGCCACAATTCCTAACATATGTAATGACATATTTTAAATATGATTGGGCAGCTGGGCATTTGCAAATGTTCGAAGCTTGAGAAAGTGGAACTCGCGAATGTGGAGGAAGACCTGTATCATCATTCTAGAATACAGGAAAGACTACAGATTTATGGTGTATCCCATAATATCAACAGAATCCTGAATGTTACTACTGGGCAGCTAACTAAATGTAAACTTTCCAGAGGAACTATTATCACACCATGCCTCATTATGCACTGGAATGAAAAAAAAAAAATTATTTACAGAAACAACTCAATCACAAATGTCCAAGAAATATCAAGTATTTATCCACAGGGTTATATTACCAACCATTCTGGATAGACATCCCGACTATATCTACTGTAAATAGCTCATAACCACTAACCCTCTGAGGGGTCCACCCCATAGTTCTACGGTTTTGAAGCCAGGGTCCAGACCATAGTACTACGTCATGAGCTCAGCTCACTCAGATAAGCTGCGAGTGGTAAATTTGGGCCTAGATATGAGAGAAAGCATCTATGTGTTAAGTGTGCACCATATAAAACAAATCTTGCAGCACGCACTACATAACGAAAACAAAAAACTGAAACTGCGTTTTTAGATTAAAACAGTGATTTTGCGATAAATTTTCATATGGTTGTATTTGTGGTTTCTTGGTTTCATTTGATAGATGGGAGGATATGTTAAAGAAATAGAGATGGTTTTGACAGGTTTTAGTAATGAAAATAGCTTGAAATTGGGCTCAAATTAGCGGAAATATTCGATTTTTGCCGATGTTCAAGAGTAAACAAATCACATTACGTGTCCAATACACATCAGCTGGTGGATCTAATGTGCATTCACAAATGCGCTGATATTATTTATGTACAATTACAGTATTACAAAATTCATAACAGTAAATCTTCTATTTTTCTGGTGAATAAAAATTCTTTATGTGAATAAAGAATCAAAATGGAATCCATCTGTAAAGCCTGGAAACATAACTAATAAACAGAAGAAATATTTTATTGCCAGGAATGCCTGCATTGTTTATCCTGGACCCTATTTTGAAATTGGAATATTTTGAACTTTGTGTGAAATTGGCCAAATTACCAATTTCCAATCACTTTATTGGGTAGTTGAAATAGTTGAGTGGGCAATTTCTTGTGCTTAATTGATAAAATGGAACACATACTAGCGAAATAGCTAAGAATTTGGTCTAGTGGAACAATGTAATTAGCCAAAAATAGGACTCAAAGTGGGCAAAATTACCGATGCATAAATACCGCTGACAGCAAAATTCACAAGAGCATAACTTCGTCAATTTTTTATCAAATTTCATACTTTTTGTTTTATTACCTTCAGAAAGATTCTCTACCATTTCATAAAAAAAAAAATTAATAAAATTCTCGGACCCTGTGGAGAATTTTCAGACTGGGGGTCTGGACAATACACAAATAACCCGCACATAAAAGAGAGAAGCTTACGACGACGTTTCGGTCCGACTTGGACCATTGACAAAGTCACACTGGTTATTTGTGTATCGTTCCAGTCACGGTATTGTGCCTTTTTGTTATTTATTTTTGGGGGTCTGGACCCTCAAAGGGTTAAACTTTCAAATTCAACCATTTCTTTCTAAAATATGGAGTATTATAAATAACTCTTAATCACATATAACCTACAGTGTAATGTTTTTGTGATAATTTATGTTTACATTAACAGCTAATTTTATTAATTACCAGATTATGAGTAAATATTTTATTACCACTGTAACTTAACTGTCAAAATATTAGGACCATGTCTGCACCCATTATGAGCTTCTCTAATCTTTTAACTACAACCCACAAAATGGGTAAGAGGTGTATAATAAAGCTGTTATACTAACTAAATACCTACTCTCACCACCAGACTGCACCACAACAACTGACGAGATCACAAAACTAGAATACATCACAAAACACCTCACCTTTACTGTTTTCTCTTTATCTTGTAATTTTTTTGTTTCAGAATAGAGAGAATTGGCAATGACCTCTGCCTGTTTATAATGACTGGTACTATAGTACAGTGACATCAGTGTCAGTTCCAGTTCATGCCGAAGATTCACACTTTTCCTATCCCGTGCCCACTGCACTGCTTTCTGAAAGTAATGAAAAAGTTAAAGCTTAGCACAAGTATTAAGATATTACAATTTACAGATAAAATACTGAAGTAGGTAAAGGTTATGAATACCTGCTAATTGCTCATTTAAGCATGAACAGAAGAACCCAGTATTTAAAAGCAAGAAAATTACTGTGCAGATCCTATCATCCATTCACTCAATGCATTTCACTATCATAGCAAGGCAAGGCTGATATATAACTTCATAATTTTAGTAATACAGTAGTGAAGTTTATACTAAAGATTAAACCATTTGGCTCCTTGACCCAAATGAAAATTTGAGGATTTTGGACTAAACTTTTGATTTCTTTACTATGATCACCTCTCAAGAAATAAGCAAATTATTTTACCTCACATAGTACATGTTTGCTCTCCTTGGTAGTCTCAAGGTTGCAATAATGAGTCAGTAACTGTCTGAGGAACTTGTTGAAGCGAGGAGCATTCATGGTTGTCACTGTGGTTGACCCATCCAAAAGTGTCTCCACTAGTGCCTCCACTATTCTTGCATCAGACAATTCTGCAAGAAAATAAACAAATTTAAAGTTTTTCTAATTACACATGCAAGTCCTGTATCTGAAAGTAAATATCTACACTATTAATATACTGGTTTATCAACATATTGTGGTCCAAAAAAATTCATATGAAAAAGGGCTCATAGTAGGTGCTAAATAAAAAGAAAAAGTTGCTTGTAAAAGGTTTCCACATTTGAAATATGTCACCAACCCAAAAACACATGTTGAACATTCTCAATTCATTTTTTATCCATATCCCAACTGCATTCACTTCATGGCACAAATGGTACTGGTATCTGATTAGTATCTCAGCAAATCAATGTAGACCTAACCTTGGGTCTAGGACCCAAGGCCTACCAGCCCATGCTAGACAAGTCCAAGTCACACCTGCTGAAGACGGAAGGAGCACTGCTGCAGGCTTACTGGCCCAAGATCATCAAGTCCAACTCGTACCCACTCATGTACAGTGGAACCTCGTTTTTCAGCTGTATTCCGTTCAAGAAGGTCGGCCTAAATTCGAAGCAATATTTCCGATAAGAATTAATGTAAATACAATTAATCTGATCCAGACACCAAAAATTATTCACAAAAAAAAAAAATATTTTTTAAGACTAATTATAGTTTTACACGCACAAAACAATGAGAACTAAATAAAATAAATTAAGAACATTTAAATCACTATTACATACCTTTACTGAAGACTTGCTGGCTTATGGAAGACAGGGAGAAGGAGAGATGGAGGGCGGATTAGTGTTTCGAAGGGGAATCCACCACCATAAGGATTTTAGGTAACAAGTCCCTCTCTGGGGTTACTTCCCTTCTTTGTCTTTTAATGCCACTAGGACCAGCTTGAGAGTCACTGGGCCCCTGTCGCACAAAATAACTGTCCAGAGTGCTCTGTTTCTGGCGTCTCTAAGATTTCCCTAAAATGGGACAAGGTTTTTGTCACTGAACATGTTGCAGATATGGCTTGTTTCAGCTTGGTCAGGGTGATATATCGCCACAAAATTTTGCACCTAATTCCACTTTGCATAAATGTCCTTAACCCTTAAACTGTCCAAACGTAGATCTACGTTTACACACACAGCGCTCCGACCTTGATTTTTCCCCATTTGAAAGCATATAAAAAAACATAGATCTACGTTTGGAGCACTATGCGAGCGAATGCAGATCTACGTTTGGACAGTTTAGGGGTTAATCACTGAAGAAGACACATCCTTCCCTCTCTCTTCCTCCTCCTCCTCCGAAGCAAGTTCTTCAGCTGTAGTCTGTTGCTGTTCCAGTTGAAGGTGTTGCAGCTCTTCAGTGGTTAGCTCTTCCCTGTGATCCTCCACCAACTCTTCCACATCCTCGCCACTCACATCCAACCCCATGGACCTCCCCAATGCCACAATATATTTCACAACAGGCAGAGGGTCGACAGGGTCAGAGTCAGCCTCAAACCCTTCAAAATCCTTCTTGAGGACACAGTCTGGCCACAATTGTCTCCAAGAAGAGTTCGAAGTCCTGGAAGTCACTCCCTGCCAAGCCTTACCTATAAGGCTGATACAATGCAGGATACTGAAGTATGTAATTCCTCCAGAACGCTCTAAGGGTCAATTCAGTGTCCGTGTTCACTTCAAAGCACTTTTGAAATGATGCTTTTGTGCAGATTTTTTTGAAGTTAGAAATGATCTACTGGTCCATGGGCTGGATAAGAAGAGTGGTGTTAGGAGGCAAGAACTTCACTGTTATAAAATGGAAATCCCTAGACAATAGGTCTACCAAGTTTGTAGGATGAGCAGAAGCACTGTCCATTGCCAGGAGACACTTGAGAGGCAATTAATTTTCCAGGAGGTACTTTTTCACACTTGGGCCAAACACTTCATGGACCCAGTCAATAAAAGGTTGCCTAGTCACCCATACCTTGTGATTAGCTTTCCACATCACACAATTTACTCTTGACGACATTGTTTTTCTTGAGCACACTGGGATTTTCAGTGAGATACACGAGTAAAGGCTTCACTTTGAAATCCCCACTAGCATTAGCACAGAACAAAAGAGTTAGCCTGTCTTTCATAGGCTTGTGTCCTGGCAGTGCCTTTTCCTCCTCCGTGATGTAGGTCCTCTTTGGCATTTTCTTCCAAAAGAGGCCAGTTTTGTCACAAGTGAACGCTTGTTGGGGTTGGAATTCTTCGGCCTCTATGTACCCCTTGAATTCCTGCATAAATTTTTCAGAAGGATGTTTGTCAGAACTTGCAGCCTCCCCATGCCTTACAACACTGTGTATGCCACTATGCTTCTTAAATCTCTCAAACCAGCCTCTGCTGGCCTTAAATTCACTATTATCATCAGTAGTACCAGGCACTTTTTTTTTTTTTTACGTGATCAGCATGCAACTGCCTTGCCTTTTCACAAATGATCGTCTCTGAAACACTATCTCCCGCTAACTGTTTTCCCCTGATCCACAACAACTTTTCCACATCTTCATTTGTTTGTGATCTCTTTTTTGTTAACAGGTTTACCCCTTTTGCCACATCAGCTTCCTTGATTTCTTTCTTTGCCAGGATAGAAGTGATTGTTGATTTGTTTTTGCCATACATCCTGGTAAGTTTCAACAACTGCACACCACTCATATTTTTCTATTGCTTCCGTCTTAAATTCTATCGTGTTTCTCACTTTTTTTTACCAAAGGAACTTTACTAGGTACTTTCTTGAGGCCCATGGTGACTTATTTCACAGTTGCACTTAATAAAAAAACACCAAAAACAATGGATTTTTAGGAGAAATTTTTGGATGAATGCACAGAGCATATGCTTACTCACCGACAGACAAAGGGAGACTGATTCACCAAAGCCTGGCATCCTGGCGGGAGAGGTGGGCTAACACGTCTAATAGGGCCAATATGCAAGGCAACGGAAAAATATGGAGCAAAATTTCCGGTGAAAAACCTGCCGATAAATAAAGCGGACAAAAAACGAGGTTCCACTGTATTTGTCTAACTTATTTTTAAAACTACACAATGCTTTAGCTTCAATAATGTTACTTGGGAGTTTTTTCCACTCATCCACATCTCTATTATTAAACCAGTGCTTTCTTATATCATTTCTAAATCTAAATTTTTCCAACTTAACCCTTTGAGGGTCGAGAGGCCTTCTCCCAAACTCGTTCTCAGGGTCAAAAAATTAAAAAAAAAAAAAAAAAATTCTTATGAAATGATAGAAAATCTTTTTCCGATCACAATGACACCAAAAGTATGAAATTTGATGGAAAACTTACAGAATTATGCTCTCGCGAAGTTAGCGGTCTCAGAGAGATTTACGCATTGGCGATTTCGCCCACTTTGAGCTCTATTTTCGGCCAATTCCAATGTTGCAATTGACTAAAATCATAGCTATTTCCCTAGAACTCCATTTGTTCTATCGATTGAGTACAAGAATTTGCCCATTTACTGATTTCAACTACCCAATAAGTGGTCAGAAATTGGCAATTTGTGCAATTTCACACAAATTTCAAAAGATGCCAATTTTGAAATAGGGTCCAGGATAAACAAGACAGACATTCATGGCACTAAAATAACATTTTATCTGTTCATCAGTCATGTCTCTAGGCCCCTCTTACATTGCTTTTGCTTTCCATTTTGAATTTTTATTCTCATAGAAAAAGTTTTCTGGTATGTATACTACTGCATCATTGTAAAAACGGTATAAATGATATCAGCGCACTTATGAAAGAATATCAGACTCACCAGTTGATGCGTATTGGACGCGTGGCTTGATTTGTATACTCTTGAATATTGGCAAAAACCGATAATTTTTGCTATTTTGAGCTCAATTTCAAAGTACTTGTCATCGTGAAACCAATCAAAATCATTTCTAATTCTGTAATATATCTTCCATTCTATCAAATGAGACCAAGGAAACGAGAATACAACCATAAATACCATACAAAAATTGACTAGAAAGTCACTCTTTTAAATCAAAAACACAATCTAAGTTTTTTTTTTTCTCATTATGCACAGCATGCTTCAGAATTTTTTTTATACTGCGCACACTGACCACACAGACCCATTCTTTCATATGTAGGCCTGCCAGCTTTCTTCCACCAGATTTGAAGGCGCTAGAATTTAGGCGTACAAGTACGTGACTGACCCTGGCTGTAATGACGTACAGTGGTCCCTCAATAATCGTCCATAATCCGTTCCTGGAAGTGGGACTATTATCGAAATGGACGATTTTCGAATCAATTTTCCCCATAAGAAATAATGCAAATCCAATTAATTCGTTCCAGACTCCCAGAAGTATCAACAACAATTTTTTTTTTTTACCTAAAAGATAGATTTACATGCACAAAAGAATGAACATTCAACATGACAGTTACCTTTATTGAAGGCTGTTGTTGATGAATGGAAGACAGGGAGGAGGAGAGAGGGAAGAGAGGTTATTTGGAAGGGGAATCCTTCTCCATAAGGACTCTAGGGCACTAATAAAATGTATAAATGAACACTGGTAATAGGGGTAGTTGATGAGTGGAACATTCTGCCTAGTAGAGTGATCGAAGCTAAAACATTGGATAGTTTCAAATTTAGGTTGGATAAATACATGAGTGAAAGAGGTTGGATTTGAGTTGGACTTGCACCTGAGTTTATTGCTTGGGTAGCATTTGTTCTGTTAGTGGGTTGGATTTGTGAAGGACCGGCCTAGTATGGGCCAGCAGGCCTGTTCCAGTGTTCCTACTTTCTTAAGTTCTTACTTAACATCACACTTACCAGTAGGGTGATCGAGGCTAGGACCTTGGACTAGGACCTTGGACAAATATACGAGTTGGAGGAGCTGAGTTTGGGTACGGGAGTAAATTCTTGGGTAGCTTTGGGTGGAGGTCATTTTGATAAGGACCTGCCTTGTATGGGCCAGTAGACCTGCAGTGTTCTTCCATTGTTGTTTTTACTGGCTATTTGTTTGTGAGGGAGGGATGGCAAGTTTATTGTTGGAGAATATGACACTAATATCAACTCTATGGCTTATTT